AGCAAATCTAATATTTATTTCACATTTAGGTCACAGGACATCAAAACAAATATTTTTACCCCAAACAGATATCCCGACCTTGTGGTTTCATTCCTGATTTGCAGTAATATTTGTCCGAAGAGATGTCTTGCTTTCACTTAAAAATGAAAGGAAAAGAAGTTATATAGGGTCCTGCAATCAGCTTTAAGGTGCACAATTGCTTGTGCACCCAAATCACCTCTGGATGCCACTCTTGATTTCACTGGAACCAGGACAAATCATTAAACTCATATTTCCTGCATTTCTTCACTCCTTTTCATCCCTGAAAACCAAAATTATTTAAATACGTAAGTCTAAACACCCCAAATGCAAAGCATTAAAAATTATATTTAACAATCTTGGCCCAAACAGTGGCTGTGGGGCCCCTATCAAATCTGAGACAATCCCATTGCTTGTAAAGATGCTTTTTTAAAAAGATTTTTTTTTTCCCTTTCAGCCTGCATAGGCCAAGGATCACATTAACACTGCTTCCTTGGATGCTCTGAAGGGCTCTGTACATGGAAAATGGACCTTTTTTCAGTTAAGTTTGAACTAGTTTTAAGGCAGAAACTGCTGAAGAGAGAATTTCAAAAGCTTAAGAAATCTAGTGGTCCCTTATGGCTTGCAGTAATGAGTAAGATAAAATGCTCTTTTGGGTTTCCTTCCCCCTGTAATTGAAATAGATGCTGTACTGGGGCTGCAAAACTGCTGCCCAATTATCGCCCAGCCAGGCTGATTTACATCTCCTGCTCAGCCTCAGCATGGTGTGAAATGCTCAGGAGGGCCAGTGTAAACATATTTATATCCGGGTGGGATGTGCTGAGCTCCTAATATCAGGATAATAATATTATATATGTAGACATATATGTGCATGGATATCTAAAGATCCATCAAGGCAAATTTTCCCATGTGAGGGCACAAAGAGCTGCTGGCTGAGGCACAGCACAGCTACCTGGCTGGGAAACACCTGGGTAACCCTAGTGCTTGGCTTGGATTTTATTTGCACTGTGGATGTAATCCTCTTTTACTGGCACATCCCAGCTTCCCTTTGGAGGGTTTTCCTGGTGTCAGCACCAGGGCACTGCTGGAACTGTTGGTCAAGTAAACACAGACTAGTCCCAGTCTCATTAGGGTCATTTCTCACATTGGCTTGGCTGGGGGACCTGGAGAAGACAGGCAGCTGGTGGGCTGCCCTTCAGGACACCTCTGCCACGCCACAGAACCCTTCCAAATGAGTTGGCTTTGCCGAGCCACGCAATATTTCACAGGTAAATGGCAGACTGTCTACGTGGCTGTAGCCGGGAGGAGAAGGAGGTTGTGGCCACCACATGAAGCCGCACCAGCACAATTCCTGATGTGTTTGAAGAGTCCAATACCAAATCCCTCAGGATCCCCACTCTGAGTTTCAATGTCATCAGGGTAAAATCCTCAGAGGTGTGCGATAGGAATGCTGTCACATATCAGACATTTCAGGAAGTCTCTGTAATTTCTTTAATTATTCAGACAACAGAGCACAAGGATAATAGCTTCAAGTACATTCTTATACATTATTTTGACAGTAATAGATATGTATTTAGTCATAAACTATTCTGTAGCCACCACTATGTGTACATTTTATACAAACTATTGCCATACTCGGACCCTGAAAACGGACAGTGACATCTCCTAGATGTTTAGCACAAGGTTATGACAGTACATCCTTCATATGACAGCTGTGGCTATGGGTTGGATTGGCCCATCTAAGGAAGCACTTCTAACACACCACCGAGGGGTGATCCTGATAAGAGGCGCCAGAGGGAGATGTGGTATTCAGACACGGTGAGAAGACATAAAGCTGCTTGGAATAAGTGTGACGGAGAACACGGCACAGCATTTCTCTGCTCAGCGAAACAGGCTGATCCTGGTGTAAGAGCATCAAAACTTCTCTCACACCACAAAGATCTGAGCTCATCTCGGCCTTTGGGTGAAGATTAAATGAAGCATTGTCTGGTGTGGTCCCATCCAGGCATGTGCCCTGCCCTGACACAAGTGAGGGCTCTGGTCTGATGGCTCTTTAACATCTCAGTTGCAATTTAGATTGAAGCCCTCCAGCCAGTGGCTTTAAGTTTGATCATTGACATCCCTAAACACCTCCACCACCCGACCTCTGGAGAAGGCACCTTCCAACATGGTCATTTCTTTGAGTGTAGAGGCCTTAAAAAATGGTAACCACCTCTCAGAGACAGGGTAAGAAAGCTCAGACACCCAGATGCTGCCAAACTAAGGCCAGACTCTTACAGCAGGGACTCATTTGTTTCAGATCACATTCTCGCATGCCCCAAATCGTCTGGGTTTGCAGCCCTCAGCACACCCCAAAGACAGGGAGGTGGCAGAGTCCAAGCTGGGGTGGGTAGCAGGTCCTCAGCACCCACCAGGCAGTCCACAGTCCCTCGTGATGCCTCTCATTGGGTAGGCATGAGGGTGGCTTTGTTTCTCTCCTGGTGCTGCAGCACACTGTGGTCACTCCAAAGTCTCATGACCCTGGCCATGTCCAAGCTTTGGAGGTTGGAAGTGGGGTTAGACTAGTGGCTGACAGGAAGGAGAAACCACATCCATCTGTTGGGGCTTCACACAGCAGTGCTCGTGCATGGAACTCGGCCACCAGCTCTTGACAGTGCTCCAGAATCTCCTGGGATTTCAGCGTGGAAGAGCACGGTCGACACTCTCTGGAGATGGCCCCAGGTAGGGACGTTCTGGGAGGCTGTGGAGCTGCCATCCATCCCAGCAGAGAACATGGCTGTGTCTCTGGAGCAAAAGGCCTGGTGGGTGAACACCCTAGAGTGGCGAGTAATGGAAACCAAAGAAAAGGTGAGAAGACATTCAAGGCAAGCTCCCTTCCGGCACGGTCCCGTCGCAGACGCGCACACACATGCACACACAATGTTTTGCAAAATTTTTAAGGGGATCCTGGAAACCCTCCATGGAGGAGCACGCCGGGCAGCAGAACCTCACTGATCAGCACCTGTCAAGGATGATCCCCTTGGCATGGGTTGGGGCTGGGACCAGGCAGGGGACGCAGCGCTGGCCCCACCACTCAACTCCTAAAACTCATCTCCAGCACATTCACCCATGGGTGGCTGGGGACGGAGTCCTGCGTTACAGCTGGGGAATGTCTCTCAGGATAAATGAACAAATCTTTATCCTTTTGTTTTGCAAAGGGTGTTTTGCTCTGTTCTCAGTAGCCCCAAGCTCTGTGCTGTTACTCAAAGCAGCCAGTGAAATCTGGTGGCCGTCTCCTTCTTCCAGCATCAGCCACGTGAATCCCTCTACCTCACCAAAGTCAATGTCTCTCCCTCAGATTTCCATCTTCTGGGCACCCAAATTGAAGCCCACTGAAATCCTGGGGTTGCCACAAGGTGAAGGCAGCTGCCTGCCTTCACATTAATGCGCTTCAAAGGGAAAACTTGATTTAGCATGCTCAGAAATCAATTTTAAGAGCCATCTAGAGTCTCCATTCCAGACTGGGAAGTGGACATGGAGTCAGGGCTGGAGCTGGAAGAGAGGATCATTGCCTGAGCAGGGATGGGGAGCCAGGGCTCTGGCAAAGGGAAACCCGTCTGCCGGTCATTCGTGCAAATAAGTGAGGTTCTACTGTCAGTACAAGAGATTCCAGGTTATGCACAGATGTGATGGATTCGTTTCCTTAATAAAAGTACCAAAATTAAATGTTATAAGTAACACATCTAAATAAAATAATGGGCACTCATTTAGGCATCATGTTTCCTAAACCAACAAGCAAAAAGGAAAAAAAAATGGGATGCACCAGGAACTCTTAGTTATTATATACTAACCAAACTGTGCATGGCACATTTTATTTCTATAAAACTATTAAAACTATTACAAAATATTCAAAAATACATTTTAGTAAATTTACAGCAGTTATTTCTCAATTTATTAATGCAAAACATCCTTTTCCCCCCTCTGTACAAACTACCATCTCCATCGTCACAGAATTGCCGCCATGTGCGCTTTTTAAAAAATATTATTTTCTAATAAACTTTTTCTGAAGTTAAAAATAACAAAGTTTCTTACGGTTTTTGCAAATAAAAAGTTTGTGTAACAGTCTTGACTTCCATGAACTTCCATGAACGTGGCCAAATGATGTTTTTACAAAGCAAAACATGGAAAACAATACAGGAAATGATGTTACATTTGAAACTATTTAAATTAAAATAATATATTCTCATATTTTACACTATTTCAAAAAACGAAATGTGATTCAGTTAAGTATTGATCTCTCAAAAAAATCTAATTTACAATTCTGTGTATAAAAATATAATTTACGGACCCCCATGAAGTTTGTCTTTTTTGTGTGTGTTTGTTTGTTTGCTTGCTTGTTTTTTAGACTTGCTGAAATGAAGGAGCAATGTAATGGAGAGATGGGAAAGTACAGAATTTTGCTTTCTGAAAGTCAGGACACACGTGACATGTAGAAAAATAGACTCTGCGCAGTTTTGCTTGGCCTCACAAAATAATTTTTTCCCCTGTGAGTACAGTTCACATCACAATAAATTATCAAAGAAACTATTTAAGGCTCTTGAAGGTCCGGTTCATATCATTTAAAACATCTATTCAAAATACCAAAGAAATAAATATCCAGGAGAGGAGGAAAAAAAACAACAAACAAACAAAACAAAAGAACAAATAAAAATATATATATATTTATAAACTAAACAGAACAGAACTTCCAGGGGTCTTTGTTTCCCTTTAAGTCTACTTTGGACTGTCCTACTTAATTATTATTATTTTATTATTATTATTTTTAAGTCTTAATCCGTGCTCTCTTTTAAAAATATGTATTTTTTTTCTTTTTTTTTTTCTTTTCGTTTTTTCTTTTCTTTTTTTTCTATTTTTTTTTTTTTTCTCCTTTCTCTCTCTCTCTCTCCCTCCGTGTCTCTGTCTCTCCGTTGGAGCCTGGCGGGCCGCCGGGATGGCGCGGGGTCCCCTCAGCTGGATGACACCATCATGCCCAGCGGGTGCAGAGAGTCACTATCCAGCACCCAGCTGCCGATGCGGTAGAGGAGCCGAGAGTACCAGTGGATGCCGGGGGCCGTGGGATCTTCCATCGGGGACCCCGCCCCGGAGGGACAGAGGGCGGCCAGCACGGCCTGGAGCAGGCGGAAGGGAGCGAAGGCCCAGTGCGCCCAGCTGTGCTCCTCGATGACGGCGTAGCACGAGGCCAGCACGCGGTCGATGAGGATGGTGCCCTGCGCGGTGAGCGGCGCGTAGGCGCCCGACGCCTCCTCCCGCAGCGACACGCGGTGCACGGCCGCCGGCAGCAGCTGCTGCCCGCCCTCGCCCAGCACGAAGATGCGCTGGCCCGGCCGCACGCGGCTGGCGAACAGCGCCCGGCTGCTGGCGGTGCCCGCCTGAGACTGGTTCTGCTGGGGGGCCACGAAGAGAAGGTGGGCGGCCGTCAGCAGCAGCCGGGCCCGGGGCTGCCGAGTCTCGATGACGTAGAAGAGCTTGTGGGAGCCGTCCTCGCGGTCGAGGAAGGTGAGGAAGTCGCTGTAGAGCAGACGGCCTTCCGTGTCGGCCACGAGCACCCTGTCTCCAGGCCTCAGGTCCTTCACCAGCTTGGTCCCGCCTTTCTCCAGGTGCACCGTGGCCGAGCCAGGGAAGCAACCCCCAGATTTGGCCGCCACTGAGTTTTCTGTGCAAGGAGAGAGGAACAGCAGGGTTAGAGGAGGCACATGCCGGGCTGGGGCATTGGGGGCATGCAGGAACTTATCACTTCCCCAGCCACCCCAACCACCAAGAAAGCACAGGAGACAGCCAGACTCCCCTCTGAAATACCTCCACCCTTATCTATGAGCATACTCCATTTACAATCAGTGGGTCAAGTGAGAACCACCTTTCTGCCAGATTTAAACCAGTGCAAAATCTCCTCTGGGTTAGGAGTTACAACAGTGATTTTTCTCATAAAGGAAATGAGCCAAAATATTTCCACTGAGAAAACTGTTCCAGAACAAAATTTCTTCTGGAAGAACTTCCCATTTGGCTACTGTTTACCCTGCACTGACACCTGATGCCAGATAACTTGCAGGCTTTCAAAGCTGGGTGGTTTTTCTGGCATAAAGTTTCTTCTCTAAGCAAGTGCCTGTGCTCTTGATGCTCAAGGTCCCCACTCAGCTCTTATTCAAGGAGCACATCTAGGGCAGCAAACAGCAGAGGACAGGAGGAGACTTTGCCCCAAGGTGCACAGAAATTTTGCCACTGCAAAGCAACAGCCCAAATTTCCCAAATCCCCCTGCATCGTGCTGCACAAGCCCCCATGCTGCCTCCAGGCTTGCTGCTCAGCATGGTGGCTACCCACACTCACAGCACCCCTGCCTGGCATCTCCAGCACTCTGCTTCAATCCTCTTTCAAAAAAGGAAAAACTCTCCCTCCCCCTAGAAGAAGCATGCTCTTCCCCATCTCAGAGAGTGTGGTCCCAGAGCAGCCCAACACCTGTGCCAGGCCAAGCATATGCATCCTCCACCTCCTCCAGCTCTTGGGAGTTACTCAGAGCTCAGAGCAGCTTTTGCTGCTTTCCTGTGCTACTGAGAGGAACAATCTCAGGCTTAAAGAAAGCAAAAGCAGCAATGAAACTCTGTCTCTCTTGCAAATCACTTTTTGGAAGCTCAGCCAGCTGTGGGGTGGTGGGAAAAAAACAGTCTGCTGTGTCCAGGCTGATCTCTGTCTTAACAGAGGGACTTGCAGTGTTCCTAACCACTCTGTTTTTTTAAATATTGGGTAATACCCCATAGGATGTCATGGTTGCAAGTGCTGAGATTCCCCATCCCTCCCTCACCTTTCCCTGCTTTCTCCCAGTTACTCCCTATACCAGTTAAGAGACCTGGTGGTTTATCTCCTAAAGACGGACAGATTTTACATTTTGCCTCTGCGGCTGCTACTGAAATTCCTATGATTGAAACAAATCCTTTGAGTGTCTCCTAATGACTTTCTCAGGAAGGACAGGAAGGGTGAAAATTAGACCGTTATTGATTTGCTAATGACTTTATCGCTTCTCCTTCAGAAATGAAGCAGCAAGATCTCCAAGGCCTCCCTCTTCAGGGAGGACATGGCAACAAACAAGCTATGTGCTTTATGTGGAGGCCTCTGCTAGTAAACTACACCTTCCTACAAGCTGGCAGTAAAGGCCTGGCTAGAGCTTTGTTTGCATATTCAGGGACTTGATGAATAGATGTAGTAGTGTAGCAGCTCTACAAACATGCCAGTGAATTGGCAGAGGTGTGAAAATCTGCTTCTTTGAGCAGTGCTTGTTTGGGTTCTCTAATTAAAATCCAATAAAGGATCAGCATTGTCATTCTGATTCATGTAATAAATGCAGACACTCTTGGAAGAGAGGACACTTCCATTTTTTTCCCAGCTTCTTCCGCCCCTTTTCTCCCCCTCCCTATTTGTTCAGGTGCAGAAACCCTATGTGCCAATTCACACACATACTCTCCAAAAACCCAGGACCTTCCAAGCACTATTTGCACAGCAGAGCCACTTTTCCAAGGCACTCAAGATCTGTATTTGAATTTTAAATGTAGAAGCTTGCTCTAAATACTTGCCGTAGCGCATTATCAATGTCCCTTTTACCACCCCTGCCTCTCCCTCCTCTGTTCTGGTGACAATAATTCAGGCCTTGGGGGAACTCTTCTTTGCATTCCAGTCTCCTGGATCATACTTTTTGCAAACAGAGATCTAGATAAAGAATCTTCCTGCTGGCATTATAGGATTTAATCTTCTCATGAGATGCTCTGTCATGAAATGAGGTTTGGACAGTTTAAGATCAGGCTGAGAGAGTGGAATTCAAGCCTGCTCCCTTCAGCCTGCCTCGTACAGTCACACGACCCTGCCTGACACCCTCCAAATATTGCCCCCAAGTCCTTGTGTGCCGAATCTCAATGAGCAGCTTGGGGTGGCTCCTCTCCTGTGAAACACCCCTGGGGTGGATTAGGAGGTGCTCCTGGGCTAAGGTCACCGTGCGCCACAATCGGACACCTTGTGCTACAAAGCCCATCTTGGCTATTGAAAGGGGTGTTTCAGATCTCCACACAGCTGACAGCTTTGCAGGGCCTCTTTTCGGCTAGAAAGGTCCCAGGAGCTGAACAAAAGCAGTAGCAGACTCTCAGGACAAAGCCCACATGGGCCAGGAGAGGTGCTCAGCCCCTGGGGAGCTCCAGGCTGGAGTGGGGGACGTGAACCCCTCCTGCAGGTGGGCACGGCAGGGCCGGGCTGTTTCCCTGCCGTGGGGCTGCTGGGTTCGAAGCAAACTGCTATATTTAAAGAAATCCCATTATTTTCTTTTGCAGCCAAGTGTCTCCTGACACATCCTGCAGGTTGCTGGGCTAGAGTATGCTCTTAAAAAGAGCTTTCGATGTCATACAGCTGGATGGAGGGAGGCGGTGGAGCTGGGGGCTGTCACTCGCTGACAGATTTGCTCCACCAAAAAACGTGTCAAGTGTCAAGAAAAGAAACTCTACAAGTCGGGGATTTCTTGCGAGCTGTTCCCTGGTTGAGACAGCGTGTGGCGTTGTAAGCACAGGGGAGGGGAGGAAAAAAATTATGTGTGTGTGTATCCCTATCTGGGAATTTCCTAGCTGCTACCGCTGAAGGAGGCTGGGGACCACGTTACTTATTTATTTTCCTAGCCGGCTCCCACTCGGAGATTAGCGCTCGCGAGTAAGGCGTGCAGCCAGCGGGGCGGCTGGAGACGGCCACGAGTGTTTGTGTTGAACATGCTCCTTGGATGGGGAAAGCATCAGACCCCACGGGGGGAGGAGAAGGGTGTGTGGCTGCGACGCAGCTCTCGTGGGAAGGCTGGCCAAGAATATCACCCAAATAAAAGTGCTGTGAAAAACTGCTGCAGCTGCCTGGGCTTTGTTTTTTTCCTTCCCCCTCACTCTTCCCTTTCCCCCACCTCTGCTCCGACGGGGTCGCTAAGAGGCGGGGGGAAGGCCGGCTGCGCCCTGGGGCTCTGCTCCCATCCCCGCGGGAGTCCCGGCGGGGCAGGCCGGGTGATGGGGACCCTGCAGGGACGAGAGGAGGGAGCCCGGCGGCAGAGACAGGTCACAGAAGGCTCTAGGGCGATGAGTCGCGGCCCGGGGGTGTCTCCCCACCTCGACACGTCCCTGGGCAGGCTGCCCGCCTTACCTGCTTTGACGGAGCAGTGGATGTGCGCCTTGGACTCGTAGTAGACCCAGTCGAAGCCAGCCTCGACGGCCAGGCGGGCCAGCATGCCGTACTTGCTGCGGTCCCGGTCCGAGGTGGTGATGTCCACGGCGCGGCCCTCGTAGTGCAGGGACTCCTCGGAGTGGTGGCCGTCCTCGTCCCAGCCCTCGGTTACCCGCAGCTTTACCCCGGGCCACTGGTTCATCACCGAGATCGCCAGAGCGTTCAGCTTGTCCTTGCAGCGCTGCGGGGATAGAGGCGGATAGGAAAGGGTCATTGTGGGGGTGCTGCAGCCCGGGGAACCCCCCCCCCCCCCTTCGTTATCGATCCCCCCTTGGGCCGCATCCTGCTTCCCTCTCCCGCCAAAGAGGCGGCATTCCTGCCCTCTCCGCCAAGCCCGCCCCAGGATGGGCTCAGCCAGAGCTGAGCATCTTCTTCCCCGCAGCCAGAGAGGGACGGGGAGGTAGCTGAGGAGGAGGAGAGTGAAACCTGGGGACACGGTATGAACAGAGGATCAAACACCACGAAGACCCACAGGGACGGACCATTTCCCTGTCCTGGCACCTGCTGCGGGGAAAAGGGAACCCCCCTCTGCCGGCGCTGGGGTGTGAGCGTGGCGATTCAAAGCCACCTGCACTGAGCAAATTCCTGCTGCTAAGTGCCCTGTCCCTTCCCGAGAGCAAAGTTTCTGACAGAACAAACACTCGCCATATATCTCAGAGTCACGGATTCCCCCCCCCCCCCCCCCCCCCCCTGCCGCCGCCGCTCC